GGAAATTATATTGTTTGTATTCACACTTAATATTGTACTTATACTGTTACACAGTTGTGGAGATGGTTCATTGGGTGAGCCACCTAAAAGAGGAGATGGTCAGTGCGGAAACATGAGATTGCTCCTAAGGCAACAGCAGAGGGTGCGCAATTCATAATTCTCAAGTTGATGTTGAGATAGTGATTTTGAATGAGAATATTGTTTATATCTTTAATCCATCTTCTCTTCTACAGATTCTCTTGGCCAGATCTGATGTTGCTGGATGGGGTGCTTTCTTAAAGGTTGAAAGTTCCCCTCTTCTATTATGTGGTGTTAGCTATTTGCTATTTCTGCTTGGTTAATTGGATTAGTTGTTTCAGAATCCTGTCAACAAGAATGATTATCTTGGAGAATATACTGGTGAATTGATTTCCCACCATGAAGCTGATAAACGCGGCAAAATTTATGACCGTGCAAACTCATCATTCCTGTTTGACCTGAATGATCAGGCAAGTGACCTTTTTTCTTACATAGCTCACAGCACCAACTAGAACAAATTTTGAAGCCCATATTCTGCAGTAATGCTTCTCTTTCAGTTTTAAACCCGCAGCCTAATTACGATGTGTGATAAAGCAAGCATTGTTAGAGATCTAAAAGTAGCTATCTGATTCTTTGCAGTATGTCCTTGATGCTTACCGCAAAGGAGACAAGCTAAAATTTGCAAACCACTCATCAAAGCCAAACTGCTATGCCAAGGTGTGATGGTTTATGCAATTGCTCCATCCATATGTTGAGTTAGTTCTCATTGGTTGAGATAATACATTGGATGTTGTACAGGTAATGCTTGTGGCAGGAGATCACCGAGTTGGCATCTTTGCCAAGGAGCGTATTGAAGCTAGTGAAGAGATTTTCTATGATTACCATTATGGACCAGCCCAAGCACCCGCATGGGCCCGAAAACCTGAGGGTTCAAAGAAAGATGACTCATCTGTTGGTCAAGGTAGAGCAAAGAAACACCAATCTCACTAATGCACTGTGTACTTGCTTGGAATGTACATTTTAGGGCATGTTTCTATAGTTCTTTCATAGTTTTAATCCATACAACATATGAGAAAGAGGAGTTGGTTCTTGAGCAGACAGCAATATGAAGCTGTACTATGATTTTTGTGTATAGATGCTGAAATATGCCAATTATGAAGGAGGGACAATAAGATAAACAGGCAATGAAAGTCAAATATTAGTATATTATTAGTGTAATAAGCTAGAATTTTTTTCTAGCAGTTTCATACTGCGGAGATTTTGAACTTCTTTGGAATTGTTGGGATTATAGTGGAAAATGTTACCTTCATGATGAGCGTCATACTTGCTTTAATTTATGATGTCGTGTACGTTCATGGATTACTAATACTGATGATGTTATTGTAATGAAATAAAATATAACAATATTTTTACCAATTTTTTGGATAAAAATTGCAGAATTTCTTTTTTCCCTTGCATTTTTATCTGGACCAATCCACCTAAGAACACTCTGTACTCTTAACTTGCAATTGACAATATACACACTGGAAAAACAAAACAAAAAAATTTCAATACAAACTATCCTCTCCTTTTAGATTGCAAGTGATAATACAACAATTCATTCCATGTATCCGGAACCCCTGGAAGACACCAATGGCTGCAATCCTGAATACTCGAAGAGTAGTGATTTCCCGGTTTTCCTCCATATATTGAAGGGTGACCATCTATTCTGTACTCAGACAAACTACTGATATTCAAGAAAGTTACGTTGGTTCTCATCTGCTTTATTACCTCCTGAACAATTGCATTCTTCTCTGAGTAGCTGATGACCGAGATTTCATCCAACAGCCGAGTAGCTTCCTTACAGTGGCCACCAGAATTCCATTGCCCTCCTCTGTTAACAGATTTATCTACTCTTGATCAGTAACTCATTCAAGGATGCAAAGGATAAATGTAGTTCAGGAAAGATGGATGAATGGCAAACCTGAAATGTGAAGGGGCTGGACTTCGAAAGAAAACTTGGGTTTTCTTCGGATTTATGTTTTTATCAACCCATGATGCCCAAGTCATCAAAGCTCTTCTAAAAGCTGTTGACACATCAAGTTGAGGATGCACTAGCTTCCCTTCCTGATAATAGTAGATCCTGTCATGAGGTTAACACACACTATGAACATGACAAGAGCACAAGAGTTTTGGTTTTAGCTTTGCAAGTTCAACAAAAATAAAGAGGAAAAAAGAATGGAAACTGTACCCTAAGATTTTTTAACTATTTGAACATGGAAAGAGTAGGCAATTTCTTTACATGCACGACAATATAAAATGACCTGATATGTACACAAATTTGTTTAAGAAAAACTCATCTAAGATGTTTGCTAAAATCGTTTAGCATGAAAAATATACATTTTCTAAATAATGACAGCAAAAGAAACTATTCAATAAAATCAACCATTTTTAAAAACAATAAAAAAGGGAACTAAATTTAAAGTATATCTAAAAGTGACAGCGAACAACATGATCCCATTTACAATCCCATCTTGCCTTTTTACTGAAAGTACTCGCGGCAAATCAATCACAAGCGATTTTGGTAGTTAAATCCTCTGGTTTGCCACTTGCTACTAATTTAGTCAAGATATGAATTAATCTAGAGAACATCTTTCTTGCTTGCATAAATATCAACATGCAACCACTTCTTATTTCTACAGCATATTGGATCTTGGAATAGTGAAAATAAAGAAGTCTGATGCTGCAATAATACTTCAAAGGTATCATGATTCAATAATTTTTTTGACATTTCATATTAGTAACTCTAAATAATGCAGTAAACATTGCATATTAGTAACTCTAAATAATTTAGTAATCAGATGACTTAAGAATGGTAATTACTATTATAAAGAGTTACTAAATTACTACGAAATGATAGAAAATTATGACAAATGCCCAATGCCTCCGAAGACTATAAGATTTCCTTATAAAGCCTGTTTAAGCACCAAAACCAAGACTACAAACAGCAAATGTAAGTATTACTAACCCAGCTTTTGTTTTGTGATGAGACCACCAGTGTGCTGTATTGAAGATCAAAATATCAGCTCCTTTCCATCTTGATGATCCATGATCAATGGCATCAATTCGCAAGGTTGGCCGCCGTTTCTGCCCTACTCTTGCCTTACTCTCATGAACCAAGAAATGGCTCACATAGTACTCAACAGTACATTTATAATCCTGTTAAAACAACTTCTATATCAAATACTGAAAAAAAAAAAACAATGGAAGGAATAAAAGTAGTAAATAACATAATATGTGTTCATGGGTTCTACTATGCTACCTCAGAAGCACCATGCCTCTGGTTAATCTCCTAACATTTATAGCAATTCAGTAAATTTTTGTAATAATCACTTAACATTATATACAAATTCAGTTAGATATACAATGTCAATTAATTCTTACACAAGCTTCTACTGAATTACCATGAAATGTTAAAAAGTTAACAGCATAAATTTTCTCGTGCTTCATTACCACAAATCTGAAACTATAATCACCCTTCTCTTTGGTGATTCTTCGCCCGTGGGTCTCATAAACTCTTTTGGAATCTTTAATGGCTCCCATCAGCATACAAAGCATGGATTCCCATTGGTTTCTATTGATGGAGTCACCAACAAAAACTACCCTCTTGCCTCTTATCAAATCAAGCATTATTGTTGCGTTGAACCTGATAATCATAATCTATAAGCCCCACATCTTAAATCAATACTTCATCTAGAAGCAATTTTCACCCGTTAACTCGGTCTAATTAAATATATTATTGAAGAGTAAGAAGAAGAAGGAAAGTTAATTTCTCACCTGGGAATCTCACAGTATAGCGGTTGCCATTTCCATTTCATGTAGTCTTTATCCAATCTCCCATTGCTTTCGCAGTCAAACCCTTCATCAATGAAAGGGCAGGAGACATTCGTGTACAAAGGGTAGCTTTCGTCATAAACCCACCTTCCTTTCGTAACATCACACTCCTCCTCTTTGCTATTGTCTGTAATCCTCGCTTTACTCTGGATTGATTCATTGTTCCTCGATGGAATAGCTTCAAGCTTCTTCTCCTTAATCTCTTCACTGGTTAATGACGGCTCAGATTTCTTAAATGAAGTTGCTCTCATCTCCTTCTCCTTAATCGCCACGTTGCTTCGAACTTCGGTATCCCCGGATGGAGACCCTGGTGCATTTTCCTGCAACGAAGTGAACCTGCCCCCAACTCCATCTTTTTGCTCACTAACCATCTCCATAGCCTGAGTGTCAGGAAGCCCGGGAGTATTTTCAGTTGCATTCAAATGGGCATAGATCCAAACAGAACTATTCAAACTCACAGCTGAGAAATTTCCTCTGAAGCCAGTCAAGGTCTGTACAGTGAAGGGTTTGATACCCAGAGTAGGCGAGGGTTTGTTGAAGTTAACATGGATCTCTTCATGAACAGAAGGGTTGGATTTCATTACCCAAATCGAGAAGAAAGCGAGGATGACGAGAGAAGAAGACATTGTCAAAGAGAAAACTAAGATTCTCGTTGATTTGAGTGAGAAACTTCTTTGCCTCTCCATATCCACTGTCCCGTTTTCTCCAAGCTATCTCGCTCTTCTTCCACTGGGTGAGTGAGAAACTAAGATTCTCTCGTTGATTTGGAAGGAAAGCATGCGGAGAGAATCAAGATGCTTCGAATCAGAGTAAATCTGGATTTGGCGAAAGTGAATAGTAATACTTAAAAGAGAAAGAAGAAAAGGTACACACATGCGTGTGAAGTAATGAGAGTGAGTGATAACGGTGGAGAAGGTGAGAAAATATTCAAAAAAAAAAAAAATGGATGACAGAGTGGATATCGGTGGAGTGGTTTGAGGATTTTCAGGGGAGTGATGGGAAAGTTGGCTGACTGGTTATGGCCGTCAATCTGGCTAAAATATTTTTCTGGCCATCGCCTCACTGTGTCAAGAATTTATGGATCCAGTTATTTTTAATTATTATAATTAAATTCGGACTACTATCTAAAATTTTCATGTAATTAATAAATGTAGCATGTGAAATTTTAGTTGAATAAAATATAAATTTATATTTTTCAATATGTATCAGATTGATATTTTAAATTATTCAAAGACGGGATAATATTTTTAACAAAATTGGTGGTAGATTTTGTCAGTGGATGAAATAGATCCATTAAAACTATAATATTTCCATGTTAAATTTCAATTTTATACATGTTAAAAATATAAATATTTTATTATATTTACATAAATAATGTTAAAAAATTATCTTTAATTTTCCAAAAACAACTTGCAGACAATACTTAAAAACTTTAGAAAAAAATATATATATATATATATACAAATCTATGAGAAATTATTTTTCTATATTAAATATATAACTTCATCTTTTATGAAAAAATTACCTGGAACAGTGTGAATAATAATGCAGGGGATTCTGAACTTCAAAGAAGATTGAACTCAATAGTTCCTTAAAGATTTGATTGTTCTTTTTGAATTAAAGCAAGTTTGTAAGACCCACGAGATGATATTAAAAAATACATTAAGATTTATATACCAACATTATATGAAATTGTAGGATACTGTGAAAGGTAATAACTCATAATTTTTAGTATTAAATTTGATTATTAGTTTTAAAGCAATTTAACTTTTAAATTCATGAGGATGGTAAAACTGTCTATTACCTTCAAATTTATTTGTAATTAAAAAAAAAAAGAGCCTAAATAATTATAATAATAGCTCATGATATTTAAAATTCTAAAAGCACGTTGTACCGTTAAATACAAGTATCACTTTCAGTAAATTTTTCTTTTAAATTCATTAAAAAAATTATAGAATTTTAAAATTTATGAAAATTAGATTATAATACCATCCAAAATTATTAAGACTAATTCATAAATTAGTTAATTACATTGTAACTGTTTTTGTTTTCTTCTGCTACAGTACAACACAAGTGGCAATATATGTATTTGTTTTCTTCTGCTACAGTACAACACAAAAGGCAATATATGTATTCCTGTAAGCAGCAAAAGTAGTATTCAGAAGGAAATATTTTTCTTTGTCATTATGCTCTCTCTTTGTTCCGTTTTTGCTCTTCCTTCTTTTCTATCATGGTATCAGAGCAATGAATCTTTAACCAACATCTTTAGCTTAGTGATTGAGCTACAAAACATTTGATCTCAAATGGCTAGAGATCAGCCCGATGACCCCCAAAACCCGTTCTTCCTTCACAGTGCCGACCACCCCGGTTTAGTTTTGGTGTCCAATCTTTTCAATGGCAATAACTACAACACATGGGAGAGAGCAATCAGGATAGCACTGACCGCCAAAACTAAATTGGGATTCATAGACGGAACCTACGATCAACCGAACAACACCGACTCCCATGCCGTTGCTTGGTCGTGTTGTAACAGTATGGTGATTTCTTGGTTGCTGAATGCTGTAACAAAGGAGATAGCTGACAGCTTGTTATACCATGAAAATGCACAATCCATCTGGACCGATTTGTAGCTTCGTTATCGGTAGAGCAATGCACCGCGTATCTACCAACTAAAATAGAGCATGAACAACCTTGCTCAAGGGTCACTCAGCATCAACACATACTACACACGAATGAAAACAATTTGGGACGAACTCAAAACTTTTCAACCAGCTCCAACCTGTCAATGCGGAAACATGAAGGCGTGGAATGATTATCAGGAACAAGAGTTTGTCATGACTTTCTTAATGGGATTAAATCCCTCATATGCTACTGTTAGGGCCCAAATTTTGATGATGGAATGCTCTCCATCCATTTTGAAAGACTTCTTACTGGTGGTGCAGGAAGAGTGGCACCGTGCAATCGGGTTCGACACACACGCAGAAACGGGTCACGGTTCCGGATTCTCTGTTGCTCTAACTCAAGGAATGAGAAGACCCACCTATTCACACTATGGACTTGTGGGCCACACTATGGACAGGTGTTACCGCCTGCATGGCTACCCACCAGGCCTCAAGCCCAAGCGTAAAATACATTTTAATGATGGACCTGTCCAAGTCCAAAACCAGACTCGCAATGTTTCAGCTGATTTTAATGAGGGGCAAGTCCAAATGCAGGCCCAAGTCCGTAACCCTCCAGCTATCTCTTGGCCCACTCCTGGAACTAGGTCTTTTAACCCGACTGGCCCCCTATCCATGCTCAGGTTCTTCTCTACCAACCAAGCCTTGGCCCATGAAGTTTTTTTAACAGAACACACTTCTTCCTCCTCCTCAGGCACGTACCCGATTGCAAGACCAGTGCAGAATTTCACCGCCTCTGTTGACGACTGCTTACCAACATCTAATTTCGCTACCTCCGTCGATGACTTAAGCACATCACAAATTCAGAACATTATTGCTCACCTATGTGCATGTCTCTACCAACCGAACTCCGCCATCTCTCCGGACAGCCTATCTCTCTCTACAAGTCACGCCGCTCTTGATCCTCACGCGGCAGGTATATCCTACACACCCTTTTGCCTTTCCAACTTCACACACACACTTACCTCTAAATGCTGGATCATTGACTCTGGAGCCACACATCACATTTGTTGCACACCTACCCTTTTCACAAATCTTAAAAATGTGCATTCCATACCAGTCACTTTACCAAATGGTAGTTCAGCATTAGTCAATCAAGTTGGAAGTACTCTCCTCACTGACACCCTAACTCTGCATGATATTCTCTTTGTCCCTCATTTTTCTTTTAAGCTTGTCAGTGTCAACATGTTGACCACTACCCACAACTGCACAATTAATTTTTCTCTTCATTCTTGTGTCATCCAGGACCGCACTCGGGACTTGTTGATTGGGAAGGGCAGACGAATTGACAACCTCTACTACTTAACTACTAGATGTTTTCTTTTTCCTGCTGTTCATTATGTTTCCATTAACTCTAAAAGAATCCTATGGCACTTTAGATTGGGTCACATTCCCATGTAAAACTTCAGTATATTAATGAAGACTTACAAACTTCGAATATTTCTCATTGTAAAATTTGTCATTTGGTTAAACAACGTAAATTGTCTTTCGTTTCTAATAATAGATTATCTGACCATCCATTTGATCTAATCCACATCGACATTTGGGGTCCCTTCTCTCCACCCACTATCGAAGGGTATAAATATTTTTCTTACAATTATTGATGATTGCACTCGGACTACTTGGGTGTATCTCCTTCGTCAAAAGTCCGACGTTCTTACCATTTTTTCTGAATTTTATACTCTCATACTTACACAATATAATATTTTCATTAAATCTGTGTGATCTGACAATGCGCACGAGTTGAATTTTCATTCATTTTTCAAGTCAAAAGGTATTGTTTCTTATCATTCTTGTGTTGAGTCTCCTCAACAAAACTCTGTTGTCGAACGAAAACATCAACACATTTTAAATGTGGTACGTGCTTTACTATTTCAATCCCATGTTCCCCTTATGTATTGGGGCGATTGCATCTTGACTGCTGTTTACCTAATCAACCGTACACATTTCCCCTTGTTATCTAATAAAACTCCATTTGAACTATTAACTCAAAAAAACCCTTTCTATGATCACTTGTGTATCTTTGGTTGTTTATGCTACTGCTCCACTCTCGATAGTCATCGCCATTAATTTTCACCTTGTTCTAGGACTTGTGTCTTCCTTGGTTACCCTTCGGGTTACAAAGGATATAAACTTCTCGACATCGAGAGCAATCAAATTTTCATCTCACGTAATTTCATTTTTCATGAACATATCTTTCCGTTTCTTTTCTCTCACTCACCTGACCCCATTCACAATGATTTTTTTCATGATCTTGTGTTACCTCTTCCTCTCCATACGTCTACACACTCCTCAGGTTCTCTTGATACACTTGTCCGCTCACAACATGAGTCTTCCCAAACACTATCATCTCGCCCACTACGTATAACACGACCACCTTCTTATTTGTCTTACTATCACTGCTACCATACAGATACACATGCACTTTATCCCATTTCTTCGTCCCTTACTCATACCAAACTTACACCCCAATACCACAGCTTTATTTGTGCCATTTCCTCCCATATTGAGTCTATCAACTTTTATGAGGCTAACCAGTCTGATGTTTGGATGAATGCTATGAACGTGGAGCTACGTGCCTTAGAGAACAATAACACTTAGCCCACTGTTTCCCTCCCTCCTAGGAAGAAACCCATTGATTGCAAGTGGGTTTACAAAGTTAAATATCAAGCTGATGGAACCGTAGAAAGACACAAAGTCCATCTGGTTGCTAAAGGCTACACACAATAATTTGGCACAGATTTCCTTGACACCTTCTCTCCTGTTGCCAAATTAGTTACTGTCAAGATTTTGCTTTCACTAGCTGCTATCCATGGTTGGCACCTGACTCAGTTGGATGTCACCAACGGTTTCCTTCATGGTGACCTTCACAAAAAAGTTTATATGATTATTCCTCCAGGCTATTCTCCTCAAGAGGGGGAGACTCTTCCACATCAACCTGTTTGACGCCTACACAAGTCAATCTATGGGTTGAGACAGGCTTCCCAATAGTGGTTTCATAAGTTCTCACAAGTATTACTTCAAAAAGGCTTCCATCAGTCACAATGTGACCACTCCCTATTTGTCTGGCAACAAGGTAAAACCTTCCTAGCATTGTTGGTATATGTCGATAACATTGTTATTGCTAGTAATGACGATCAGACTGTGGAAGAGCTCAAAGCTACACTCAGACAAAACTTCAAAATGAAAGATTTGGAGACTCTCCGATATTTTCTTGGACTTGAAATTGCAATAAACGACACAGGAATCACCTTATGCCAAAGAAAATATGTGTTGGATCTGTTAACTGAAACTAGATATCTTGGTTGTAAACCATCATCTATTCTCATGGATCCTAGTATCAAGATGTCTAAAAAT